TAATATATATATACATATATATATATATATAATATATATTATACATACATATACATATATATATATATATAATATATATATATATATATATACTGTATATACTTTGTATAGTATCAGTATCAATGTATATTGTATAAATATTGTTTCAGTGTTGCTGTATTCATACCCATCTGCTCACTACAGACTCATGTTCAGGCTGCTGTTTAATATACTGTGTTATTTTACATTAGTGTTTAGCGTGTATCTTAGATCTTTTAGTGTATTGTTTAGTGTTCATTTAGCGTATATCTTAGATCCTTATATATCGTTTCTTTTTATACTTTATATTTTTGCTATTTTTGGGTGTAACTGGGACCGTGAGTAGATAATTTTGTTCCACCTCGTGAACCACATGTGATGTGAATGACAATAAAGAACCTTGAAAATAGCTGAAACTTCAGCCTTTCAGGACATAAAATCTTTTTCTTTTCCTGATCTAATGAGGCTGAGCTTTAAAAATAAAATAAAATTAGTGGAGGTGTGTGTATGCACATTTTTATCTTTTCAGCTTCAAGATCCAGTTCAGTTCATTTATCTTACAATTAAACTTGTCATAAAATATGGATTTCATGCTAATTTATTTTTAAAGTGTTTTTTTATTATTTAAAATGGTCAAATCTCATTCTAAAATAAGTTGAGATGTTATATTTCAGCATGCAGAGACATTCTTTTTAACCTGACTCAGTGGGTTTTGTCACCCTAAAGCTGAACTTTAGCTGGACGTAAAGGGGAAACCAGTTTCACACAGCGGTACCTCTCCATACAGGACGCTGGACGGCAGCTTGCCCTTCACACCCCCAGAGTTAGCGGGGTCCATCCACAACAGGAACTCCCAGCAGCGGGAGAAGGAGATGGACAACGAGTGGAAGATTTCTCTGGAGTGAATGCTGGACAGGAAACAGATACAATGATGTCAGGTCTTTTGACACAGATAAAAAAAAAAAATAGATGAGACTGAAAATGTTAACACTGAAGAAATATTATTACTCATAAAATTACAGTTAACAAGAAAAAGCATCTCTTGTCTGAGTCAGATATGATGAAAGTGCTTCAATAAATATATATATTTATAATTTAGTTATGCAGTAACTTCTACTAGTGTTGAGTAAGAGTTTCAGGATCTAGTTGTTTAAGGCAAATTAGCAAATATTTGTTGGCTGACTTTGTATCAGTTAAAATAAAAATATGCAGGCAAGTACTTGTGGAAAAAAGTAGAAATATCTGACCTGTTGGTGATATATTCTACGTAAGCAACGGCGTCATCGATCCTCCGTTTCTTTGTACACAAGATGATCCTGTTGAAGTTTCCGTAAACCACAGTCGAGCCCAGACGTTTAAACTCTGCAACCAACCTGTCGCCAGAAGAACAAAATGAAACTTAGACGAACAAAGGCACGATAAATAAATACAATATAAAAAATAATATTAAACTGGTAATAACCTACAAAATTAACAAATAAGACACTATGGTAAAAATAAATAGAGCATAGATTAAAGCTTAACTTAAAAAAAAAAAAAAACATTAAATATAAAAATGAAAACACAACAGCTGTTTCAGTACTTAACTATTTTTGGAGATATTTTTAGAGAAGCCTCTGACCGAGTGAATTACCTCAGAAATATTTATAATAAAGCACAGATTGTAATGTGGAATTGTCCAAATCCTGATGTGTGAATATTTTTTAATATATATTTTCAGATTTTTCCCCCCTTGTTAAATAAATGAATGATTATTCAGCATTTTAGAATGAAGTGTACTAGTATGAGTACATCCTAATAAAACCTTAGTGAAGCAACAGAATGACGTGTTTTAAGCATTAACTGTATATTTATTGAAGTATTTCTTATATTTGTAGTTTTATTAGAACAAACCAATGCAACATGTTGTAACTAGATAATTCTGTCACATCTATTGGTCGGGTGAGGTTAATATAAACCATTTAAAAAAATGTGAAAAATGTTGTGTATCATTAAAAATCATCTTTCAAGATGTGACAAAATAAATGTTTTTCTAATGAACAACAAAAAAAACCCAACAAGAATTAAAAATGGACTCACTGCAGAAACACCTTCTTCATCATGTTGTGCAGGGTGCGGTGCAGCGCCGGGTCGTACAGCAGAGAGCTCGGCGAGTGCAGCCAGCGGTAGAAATGCATCACCTGGTTGTCTGCGTACACATTGTGGTACTGCGTGATCTCCCTCACCCACCCAACCACCATGCTTTTAAGGATCCTGCTCAGACAACATAAAAAACACAAATTAACTAATGAAATGCTGCGAAATAAGACAAAAGTTATGAAATAAGAGAAAACTTGGAAATTTTTCTTTGCGGCTTTAATTCACCACAAACATCAGCTGCTTCCACACCTGAACGTGTTGGAGCAGAGAGCGGTTTCATCATAGCTAGCGAGCGCACTGGCGCCCTGGTTTCCTGACATCATGTCCTCCAACGACGCCTGCTGGATCACATCAAAACTAACGCCCAGACTGGCTCCGCCCTCCATGTCGTTAACGTGCTGCGACTGGAGGATGGTGTTCACCGCCAGGCTCTGCAGGTCCAGCTCCACACACACTAAACAAGAAATATGTTAATACGTCAACACAAAGAAATAAAAAAACCTTTGGAAACTTCTCTCTACTGTGACATCCTGTTGTTCAAATACCGTATTTTTCAGTCTACAAGTCGCATTTTGCACAATTTGCATAATTTGCATGCCCTGCGACTTATAGGCCGAAGCGACGTATTTATAGATTTTTTCCCATATTTAAAAAACAATTTTTGGCTGAGATATGACTGTGTTCATTCAATCTGACTGAAAAAAATTGAACAGTACCATTTTCAGCCACGAGATGGCAGCAGAGTGTTGGTGGTAGTAGTAGTAAGGCATGCCGTTGTATCATGTAATAGGTAAAAGTGGCTATAATGACAAATTCAAAAAAGTTCAAGACAAAAAGAACTGGACTTTATTTATTATACTTTATTGTTTTTTTTGTCTTGCACTTTTTTGAATTTACCATGTCCTGGATAACTGAGAATCTTCACTAGCTATTAATGACACAATCGGCTTGCCATAGTACCCTCACCTTGGTTCTGCTTGCTGCTTGGAGCAACCATCAAACCAGCTGTACCGCCCTGGCGAAATGCAGCCAATTTGACCATAAAAGTGCATTTATTAAGCAAAAGTTAGACTGAGACACACCTTTAATATAATTTCGAGCAACAACTAATTGTTTTTAAGTGTTAAGCTTGTTAAATTCTTGTTAAAGTCCTCCCGTGCACGCTCCCGCGGCCGCCATTTGGCAGCCAATTGATTTTTGGCACAACACCGACCCACAGTTCCGAGTTGTCAGCGGTGACGCATAATAGATGCGACTTATACAGAGAAGCGACATATTTATGGATTTTTCCACTTTTGTAGACATATATAGACTGATGCGACTTATAGGGTGGAGCGACATGTACAGCGGAAAATACGGTACCTGTGGAGTAACATCCCTGAGCGTTGATCTCCACAGAGCCCCAGTCGTCGTTTTCCATGACCAGACGACTGTCGTCTGCCTCTTTTCCTCCGAGGTCGGGCCTGGCTGTCGGTGAAAGCCACAGCAGGTGGTTGTGTTTCCGTAGATGTCTGGCTAGGAACAAGTCTGAGCCAAAGATGGACACGTCCTGGGGCAAATTACCCACAGGTAGGTGGTAATACCTGAAAGCAGGAGGCAATATGCTCAGTTTTAGTTAGCTGTAATATAGATTCAACAGGTGAGCTGTCCATACCTGGCCATGTCAAAAGCCTGAGACAGGCAGCTGTCCAGGTTGAGGTAATGGCGGATCATTCTCCTGGCTCCGTGACGTTGCCAGTCCAGAACGTTATAGTTGATCTCATCTACCACGTGTACTGGAACAACTGGGAACTCCTCAAGCACTGGCATCCCTGCAGCTAGTCGCCGCAGCTCCCAGTTGGACTGCAGGGCGATGAGGGTGGGCCCACGCCGCTCCTCCTGAACACGGCAAACAAAGAAAAAGGGATGGAGGAAAACTGAGAGACACCTGTCACAAAACCACTAACTCGGAGTGGAGTTAGCTTTAATATGACCTCAAAGTTTGAGAAGTCTCGAAGTGCTGCGACAGAAGTGGCTTGCCAACACTTCCACAAAAAGCACACGTTGAGCCATGTTACGAAGAGCGTATTTTACCTTGTAATTCAGCAGGATGCGCTGCAGTGAGCGGGAAATCGCTTTGATGTCATTTTCAGCTCGAACCTCGAAGGTGTGTTTGTCTGGAGGTAGAAGCTCCTCCGTCGTCTTCTCCAGGAGGGCAGTGCGCTCAGCCGTGTAGAGATTACTCAGGTTGGGCATCTGGTTGCTTCGAACCTAAAGTCAGAGTTGCAACAGAACTTGAGCTTTATTTTATACGTTGAGGTATTATCGCCAGAGAAAACAGAGTGTTTTTTTGTCCTCATGGTCTTGACCAGCTGCTAGTGCTAGTCCTGGATCCAGTTCAGAGCTGCTCTTTATTTCTAAAGGCCGGCAGTTACAGTTTTAAATGGGGTCTGTAAAGGTTAACTGAAGGCCCCGTCTAGTCTCTGGATACTTCCTGGTACTGCGGGTCTATTTGTAAATATTGATATTTTTTCCTCCACCCACACATTCTAACAGAAACAGTGAAAATCCCATTCTGCACCTCAGTAAAAAAAAACAACAACATGAGATAAAAACACCAAGATTAAAATCCACGTCAAACCCCTGAAAGTTTGGGTATTCTTACCGTGTCCAGGATGAAGATGCTAGCTTTGCGCTGAGAGGGGATGAACAGGCCGAACAGAGCCTTATGACCCTGGCTGTGATGATACAGATACATGTGGCGAACACTTCCTGAAAAGGCAAACATAATACTGCCATGTGAAGTTTATAACGTGGTTTCTTGTCACATTAATTTTAGGATGAAGAAAAACCACACTGAAAACTACAGATTATTCCTAAGTGATAATCTTAAGATGGACTGTGTCTTCAGCAGGTCTTACCAGGTTCCAGGTAGCTGAACTGGGCCAGAGACCTCATCTCCAAATGTTCCAGATCAAAGGTGTCGGTCTCTCTGCCAGCCAGACCCCTCACAACATGCTTGTTTACCATACACACACATCCGAGCTGCACCAGCGCGCGGAACAACAACGGGACCTGAGAGGAAGTTAAGAAGCTTTAGTTGTGTGAACACTGAAGCATTCACGCTATTGTGGTTCAGTTTTCTTCCGTACGTTTTTCTGCATCTTTCTCGTCCTGCAGTTTTGAATCTATTTCAACAAATCATATCAAAACGTTCAGCTCCTTCAGGATAATCCTGCTATGACTTTTGGTATTAGTGCATCTTTAGCTTTTTGAAATATTTAGCCTTTTCTGCCATTTTTTTCCTCATAAGAAATGAATTGAGCTCATTTTACATTCTTCAAATCTTTAGCTCTGTTTACAACTGCTGCTTTTACAATTTGTTCTGGTTCAGCTTCTTTCAGCTTCCATGTGCTAATTTAAACATTCTTTCAGCTGTTTTGTGCTGCTTTCAGGCTTTTTCTGCTACTACAACATTTTTGTGCTTCTAACTTATTTCGGCTAATTTCAGCTTGTTTTGCACCTTTCAGCTGATTTCTGAAAGTTTCAGCTTTTTCTGCTATTTCAGCTACTATTTAGCTGTTTTTATGCATTTTTTTCAGCTAATTCCACATTTTTTGCACTCATTTCAAATTTTTTCAGTCGAATTCAGCAAAAATGCGTTATCTCCATGTCCTTCTTGCAATTTCTGCTTCTTTCTGCTTTTTAGCTACTTTTCATCAGGTTTTTTTTTTTTTTCCAAATCTCAGCTTTGTTCAGATAATTTCCACTTTTTGTGCTCATTTCTGCTTCTTTCAGCAAGCGTGTTCTTTCTGCTTTCTTATTCTAATTGAAGCTTATTCTACCGTTTCAGCTAATTTTAGCTGTTTTCAGATAACTTCCAAGTTTTTCGTGGTAATTTCTGCTACTTTCAGCCTAATCAGCTTATGCTCCATTCAGCTTTTTCTGCCCATTCAGCTACTATTTAGCTGTTTTATGCTAATTTTAGCCTTTTCAGCTAATTCCACATTTTTTATATCTCATTTCAGCTCTTTACAATTCCTTTTGGTAGCTTAAGCTTCTTTCTGCATTTTCAGCTACCATTCAGCAATTTTTTGCTTATTTTAGCTGTTTATTTAAGCTAATTTCATATTTTTTGTGCTAATTTCTGCTTATTTAAACCTAATTCAGCAAATATGTGTTCTTTTTGCTTTCTTCTACTAATTTTGGCTTGTTCTTCCACTTCAGTTTTTTTTTTTGTTGTTGATGTTTTTTTTAGATAATTTCAGCAGTTTTTCAGCAAGTTCTTCTGCAATAAGCCTTCACACAGAATTTTCGCAGGAAATGCAATTTCTCTAGTTCATGTTAAACTCTATTTTTAAAAGTCAGTCACAACTTTTCTTTGTATATTTTTTACAGATTATATAGTACATAGTCAACACAAGGAGGTAACTTCTGCTGAACTGGACTCTTAAAACGAGCCTCGGCGTTATGGACACAGTGGTCACCTGTGTTTCGTAGACGCCTTCGATGTCTGGAGCAGAGAGGTCAGCGTTGATCTCATTGATGTGCTTCTGGTACATGTCCTCTGGTACAGAGTACTCGTACAGGTAGTACACCACGTTGGAGCGAGGCAGCATCCGGTTCACCTGAATCAAAAGTTGTAGAAACCATTATTTGAGCAGCTCCATCTGGCAACGAGTTTAAAGCATTCGAGGTGACGGCAGAATATTGTTGTAGTGCCTTTTTGTACGCGACTCCCTCCTCCTGCTTTGGGACTTTCTGGTTGACGTAGAAAACACGCGGGATGTTGAGTTTCATGCAGTGAAGGTCGTTTCCAATCACAGCCCACAGCTTGTACAGACCGGGGTGGCTCGTCTCTGCAATCTGGAAGGAAGGACATTTGATGTGATGGATTTTATAAGAATGTTGTTATCACGCTAAACATTCTGATGGCAGCGCAGTGACGTTTTCCTCTACCTGCACAATCTGCCACGGCATGTCCAGGATGCTGCGAGCCGTTCTGCGGAGGAAGCTCCCCAGGCCGGTGGCGGGCCCACCTCTGATCACCCCCCCACTAACAGGTTGGACTTCCCCATCCAACAGCTTTCTCCTCTTCTGCTTCTCCCTCCTTTGCCTGAGCTGCAGCTCCCATTTCTTCTTATGATAGCGCAGCCAAACGAGACGCTCCTCCTGCAGCAAGAGACAGCTGTTGGATCACGCCTGAAGACAAACTTCAAGAAGCAAAACTCTCGTCCGTGCTGCTTCCCTACCCGTGTCGTTCCCGTAGGTGGGGGAGGTCCCAGGATTTCTCTCCAGGACTGCGTGAGCTCCACGTCCTGAGACTCCACCTGGCTGTCGTCTCCCTGAGAAGCCCGCTTCCTCTTGGTGCTGATGAGGATGGCGGGCTGCAGGGGTCTGGCTGGCATCCCGAAGTCCTCTATGTCTGCAGTTTCTCCCACTTCAAGAGGCTGGTGGGTCACCTGGAAAAGCAGAGTGGGCTTGTGCATGGAGTTATTGTGCTTTAACCAAAACCAACAATGAGACAGGATCATTTTAGCGTCAGCTGACCCTACCTGTCTCTTGCCCTCACTGGAGAACAGCTCACTTATCTTCTTTTGCTTGTAGATGTCATTTTTCTCCAGGAGTTTCTTGTGAAGCCAGTCAGGATGCCTCACTCTTGGAACGGGATTCTTCACCTTAAGATAAATAGAAGCAAATCCAGTTCGTGTCTAGATGAACATTAGACATAAAACGGTCCATTTTGAACTGAATGTACCTGTTGCAGAGCTGCAGGGATCGTGATGATTTTTTGGATTGCACTGCCCAACCTCTCAATGTAATAGCTCCAGTCAAGAATCTGGAGAACATGCACAAACAAATAAAAAACAACGTAGAGTGTAACACAAATACACTTAAACAGTAAACAAAATATATTTATATATATATATATATATATATATATATATATATATATATATATATTTTGCATTGTAATTATATTTATGGCTCACAGAGCGTATGTCCAGGTCGTGCAGGCTGGGCATCTTCAGCCACTTTCGGAGAAAATGCTTCTTGACGCTGGGCTCGGCCTGGAAGATGGCCAGAGGAATGGCTCTGATGGAGACAGTACAAAGATGGAGTCAAACTGGATTCTTTTACTTCTGCTATTAATGCAAAGAGATCCCGAGAGAGACTGGGGTGAAAACAACTCCCGGAGCATTTTAGTTGGTTTACTAACACAAGAAAATGTATCCTATCTGTCATCCAGGCAGAGTGCTGCTCAAGTTGTTTTTTTTATTGTTTTTGTTTAAACAGAGCAAGGATGAGAATGTAAATCAAACTTCTTTGACCAGTTTAGGGTTCTAGTTTAATTATGTGGTCAAAACAATTCAACATAATACAGTATCATAACAATCTACACAATGATAAATAGGGATGCACGATATTATCGGCATGGTATCAGCGATAGTTAAATATTGGCCATTCCATCAAAAAAAAAAAAAAAAAAAAACTCACCAATATAAAAGGCTTCTGTTTTAAGTTATTTTTTAATTTAAGAAACTGTCAAGTAAATCTATTAATGCACTTTTCACTTGTCGAACAGGCCGAGTTTAGATTTGTGAAAAAGTACAAATTTGCACTGTTCAAGTGTTGTCATTGTGTTAGAGAGATGAAACATCATGAATACATTTGACATTAAACATAATCCATGTTGAAGTGTTGCATCATTTTCAGCCCCTTTTTGGCATCTGTATTTGGTAGCAGGTCAAACTGACAAAGACCACGCAGAATAATGTAGTATTTTAATTCCACAGCAGAGAAAGCTATGTAGTCTCTGTAAGTAAGTCTAGGGGGGAAAAATATCGGTATTGGTATCGGTTATCGGCCAAATAAGTTTTAACATATCGGATATCGGCCAATTTCTAATATCATGAATCCCTACTGATAAATTAAAGTGTCCATTTTTATGTTATGGTTTAGCACTGATGTTAAAGAGGGTCCACTACTTTGCAGCTTGGGGCCTCACCTTTCTGTGACGGGGGAGCCCTCTGGTTTGCGGGAGATGATATAGCGACAGCTCAGACCTGCGTCTTTCACCATCTGGTCTCCCAGAAACTCTGCCAGCCTCTTGGCTGTGCTGATGGACGTGGACTTCTGCTCTCCGTAGTCCTCGAGCTTTCGGGACATGGATCGGTTTTCAGAAATCAGGTCGAACAGTTCTGCATCTGGCATGTTAGCAGCCTGGAGGGGGGAAAAATACAAAAACAAAGTACATTTAATGAGCTTGTTTTGTCTAAGGTCAAAGAAGAATGAAGAGGATTTTATTCCAGCACTGCTTTGACCTTGCTGTACAGCACATCCAGCCAGTAGTCGGCCACTTTAGCCACAGACGCGTAGACCTCCTCCAGAGTGGTACCTTTGAGGAAAGCCTCGAACACAGAGGACTGAAAAATCTTGATGAGCTGGAGCTCCCCTCTTCGTTTCACTTCAAAACCTTTGAGCTCAGCCAACGAGCCGTCTTCGTTGAACACAGCATACCTGAAAAACAGGACAGGCTCACCTTTAAAACACTTCTCCTCTCTGCTTCTGTTCCACAGCAGCAGGTTTAGCTTGGGCTCACCTCTTCTTGAGCTTCTTCCCTTCCTCCTTGGAGGCGGGCAGGATCATCGCCAGATACGGTCCGTCCACCTCGAAGAAGATGCTGTTCTCCGACCGGATGTTGTAAGTGAGCGACGCGGGTTCCACCAGCTCGTGGTACTGCTCGTTGGTGAACCCCTCTTTCACCAAGATGTTCAGCATGGCTCCCGGGTAGGAGATGGTCACTTTGGGCTTCTTCTCGTTGCTCGTCTTTATCACAAAGTTCTCAGGGAAGGTGTTGGGAAGCACACACCAAATACCGTCAGTGTCCAACTCAAGCGGCCTCCTGAAGGGGAGAAGCAGCAACGTTTATTTTTTCTTTACTGTGGAATTATTTTAAATTAAATACATTTTTAATGTCCAAATAAACCTTGGAAGACTACAGAACCAAACTGAAATCGTTTCCTGAAGGACAGCATTGTTTACCATCTTTCATGCCAGAATTTAAACTAAAATCATCTTGAGCTTCATCAAACACTGAAAAGAACGTGCGAGATCTCACCCGTGAGTATGTGAATGACTTTCAGCTACTACCACGTCAAATTATAGCTCGATACCTGTAAAACTGACAGTTATGTTTGCTCAGGTTGCTTAGCTGTGGCCGTCACCTTGAAGTGAGGTGACTCCAAAAGTTAATCAGTTGTAGATGCACATCCAGTGATCGCTTTCTGAGAGTTTCGTTGAAATCCACTCAGTGGTTCATGCAATATTTTGTTAACAGACAAACAGGTCATCTCACCATCGCCAACATTTTAATCAAAGTTGCTGCACAATGTGTAGCGCTTTAATTAAGTGTTGGGAAAAACTCTTAGCTACTACCACTCCAAAAGTTAGCCAAATGTCTGTAAAAGTGAATAAATTATAGCCAATTTTGTGTTTCTTAAAGTCAGTAGGCTGTGGCGGCCATCTTTAACTAGACTGACTCCAAACGTTCAACAGCTGTAAATGTGCATCCAATGATTAACTTTGGAGAGTTTAATTAAAATTCGTCGAGTCGTTCGTGACTTATTATGCTAACAGACACGGACACACCCAATTGTCGTCCGTCGTCAAAAGTCCAGCAAATAAAAAAAAATATTGTGCAGGAACTGGTTCATTTGAACGTTTCTGCAGAAAAACAAACTCCTCCGGATTGAAGCTACTCGGTCAAACATCTCAAGTGATGCGATGTGTCTTCTGAACGTCACTCACCCTATTTGCTCAATAAGCTCTCTGGCCTGAGTGATGATGTTGGCCCCGGTGTAGCACACGATGCCGGCCATCTCCATGGAGTACCAGCGGGCGCTGCCACACACAGACGACATGAACCCAACAGCAGCAGAGCGGTCAACAGCGTAAGAAACACGGCGATGAAGACGTCTCCTACCCTTTTCTCATGACGTAGCCGTAGAAAGAGTTCAGAATACACTTGTGGGCCAGCTGAAGCGAGTCGTACAGGATCTCCATGTTCTTACTGCGCTTCACCTCTGCAGCATCTCCGCTGTCCTGCGCCGCCGACAGCTTCTTCTTCCACACCTTCACGAGCAGGTCAAACGTTTGAAAGGTGAACCGCACCACTAAATAACCCCACCGTTTCTCCCAACACCTACTTTATGAAGTCCTTTGAACTCGTAACGCCGATCCCTGAACGCTCTGACCGTGTCCACGTAGAAGGAGTTTTCTCTCTGACAAATGGTGGTAACTCGCTCCTCCAGCCGGGTGACGCGCGTCTTCTTGTAGGCCCTCTTGCAGTAGTCTAACAGACGAGAACGGATGAGTCACGCGGCGTAGAACTTAAATCTGCCGCGAGTACCGTATTTCCCGGCATATAAGTCGCAGGTTTGTTTTTTTTTGCATAGATTTGACACCCAAGCGACTTATATACGTTTTTTTTTTTCCTTCCTCTTCATGATGCTTTTCTTGACTGATGCGACTTATAGTCCGGAGCATACGGTAACCCAAGCAGAGACGGTACCTGCCAGACGTTTCTTCTCGTGTTTGGCCTGCTCCTCCCTGTTCAGGGTGTGGAAGGCCCGGGCCGGCCCGTTGGGGAACAGCGCGGGGAACTTCTCAGACTCGAGCTGCTGCTGGATGCGGTGGAACTCGCTGCGACTCGCGGGCACTGAGGGAGAGTCTTCGTTAGTCGGAGTCAAACGAACGGCTGGCACGTCCATCAACTCAGAACTTACTGATTTCTCCTCTCCACTGCCAAGTCATCCTCCTCTGACAGGAGGCGCCGGGCTTGTTGAAGTCGCACGCAGCGCACGTGGCCTCGTCGACCATCGCTGACGGCTAGAAACGACGAGAGTAAAGACGTTAAAGCTTCCTGTCGTGCACACGGTCACATGTTGTTTTATTTTACCTGCAGGCGGTTGGTGAGGATAATATTGGGGTACATCGCCCCGACATCCAGATGGTAGATGAGAGGACATTCAATCCTGTTTGGAACCTCCTTCAAGGACGTCAGCTTCTTTTTGATTTCCTCACACACCTGACAGAACATCAGCTATCAAACGACGTCTCGACGACAGACTTGAGTCGCCGAACAAGAGAAACACGAGCAAACCTCATTAAAGTTGGTCACTTGCTCCAGAGGGATCTTCTCCTCCTCCTCGACGGCATGTCGCATCGTCCCCTCAACCCTTTGAAGCAGAAAGTCAAACGCAGCCGGGTTCTGCCAAAACAGCGAGCGGCCGGCTTTAGAACAAAATCGATCAAAGAGCTGGCGCAGAGAGAAGCCGCGCCTCCTCGTACCATTTTAAAGCGACAGGGGATGTCACTGCGAAACACGCCGGACTCCAGCGCCTCCACGTGTCCGCCCACGTACGTCTCAGAGTCCATGACGTGGCCGTCGTCTGTGAGCTTGTTGAAAACCTGCTCCTGCTTGTTGGGGAACACGATGTTGGCGTGGAAGGCCTGCACCATGAGCAAGGCTTCGCACAGAGTCCCCGAGCCTTTACGCAGCACCTGAAGACACACGACGAGAAAGGAAAACTAGACGAACTGCAGTTCCTGCGAAAATGCAGTGTGGCTGCTTATTGCTGAGGAACTTGCTGAAAAACAGCTGAAATTAGCTAAAAATATGCTGAAATGTAGCTGAAACGGAAGAACAAGCCCAAGTTAGAAGAAAGCAGAAAGAACACATATTTGTTGAATTTGGTTTAAATAAGCAGAAATGGAGCACAAAAATGAGTAAATTTTCTAAAAAAAAATTAAATAAAAAAAAGCTGAATTTAGAAAAAAATAGCTGAAAAGGCAGGAAGAAGCTTAAATTACCAGAAGGAAGTGGAGAAAGCACAGTTGTGTTCAATTAGGCTAAAAGAAGCAGACCCCCCCCCCCCCAAAAAAGTGGAAATTATCTGGAAAAATGTAAAAAAAAAAAAAACCCAGCTAAATAGTAGCTAAAAAGCAGAAAGAA